AAACTGGTATTTACAACAAACAATTCAATGGTTTCACTGTAAATAAAATCCCTATAAATTACAACAACAAAAAGTAGTGGAAAATATTCAAAAGGCATTTATTATCTGCATGGCGATAAATATTTTTATACAGCGATATTAGGGGAGGAGCAATCATTTTTAAGGACAGATCAAAAATTTAGCTTTCTAAAAAAATTGAAATTTTATCCACACTCTGAGGTTTCAAATTCGTCCTGATGTAACTGATCACGTGTATTTTACCTAATTTTTTAAAGTGTCACTCATTGAATGATTTAGCAAACCACCCTAATATATGGCCATGCATATTAAAGCCCAACAATATTGATTGATGCGTGGATTCATCATTTTAACCTACATTTGTAACAATTTCAATTTATTGGCGGATTATATAGGCGGGACAGACATTCGGTAAATGATACGAAAAATTTTTTCTCGAGAAATATTTAAATTTCAAACGAAACCTACAGCTGATGCCTAATCAATAAATCAGGGCGATACAATTTCAGTTATCGGAAGTGGAATGGAAAAAAATAAACCATCAACAAGGATGTCATAATTTTGAAAAAATTTTAAAATAGAATAATTTTCAGGACCAAATAAAATAGAAGCGCATTTTCTTCTACTCCAAATTGCAATTTTCCTGAATATAAACTTCATTGTCACCTTGTCAGGATTTCAAAATGACCCCTTTTTACGTAAAAAAGAATAATCTCCCTGTCACTAACCCATAATTAGCCAATGTGTACACATGCATGGCCAGGACAATATGGCAAAGGACGTGCAGGTGGTTTTTGAAAATGTAATAATTTTGTAGTTTCCTCCATTAAATTATTATCCATTCGGTCAATGCACACACGGCTACTTATAGCCTATTCTTACATTTGGCCTTTTCACCGAATGGCAAAATAAGCTTCAATTTTTCGCACCTCTTAGCCAAGTGGTTCCATAATCAATGGTTCTGACATATAAACAACAATAACCAACAACAATTTTCAGTAATAACCAAACAGGATAACGTGGCTAACACATATATCTATTCAGAGCACCTGAGCTAGGATGATTGAGAAGAGGGTCGGATGATAATTTAGGAAAGTGTGGATTTTTTAAAGAATATTTTTTCAAAGGACCCACCATACAAGGCGTGGATTTATTAAAGGAATATTTTTTCAAAGGACCCACCATACAAGGCGTGGATTTATTAAAGGAATATTTTTTCAAAGGACCCACCATACAAGGCGTGGATTTATTAAAGGAATATTTTTTCAAAGGACCCACCATACAAGGCGTGGATTTATTAAAGGAATATTTTTTCAAAGTACCCACCATACAAGGCGTGGATTTATTAAAGGAATATTTTTTCAAAGGAACCACCATACAAGGCGTGGATTTATTAAAGGAATATTTTTTCAAAGGACCCACCATACAAGGCGTGGATTTATTAAAGGAATATTTTTTCAAAGGACCCACCATACAAGGCGTGGATTTATTAAAGGAATATTTTTTCAAAGGACCCAGCATACAAGGCGTGGATTTATTAAAGGAATATTTTTTCAAAGGACCCACCATACAAGGCGTGGATTTATTAAAGGAATATTTTTTCAAAGGACCCACCATACAAGGCGTGGATTTATTAAAGGAATATTTTTTCAAAGGACCCACCATACAAGGCGTGGATTTATTAAAGGAATATTTTTTCAAAGGACCCAGCATACAAGGCGTGGATTTATTAAAGGAATATTTTTTCAAAGGAACCACCATACAAGGCGTGGATTTATTAAAGGAATATTTTTTCAAAGGACCCACCATACAAGGCGTGGATTTATTAAAGGAATATTTTTTCAAAGGACCCACCATACAAGGCGTGGATTTATTAAAGGAATATTTTTTCAAAGGATCCACTATACAATTTTTTATTTATTTAAAAGGTTCTTATCCTGCCTTCACATATGATCCTCCTTTTTATGTGCTACTTCCACCTACCACTTTCGATACATTTTGTTATGTATGTCGTGTAAATAATAAATTCGACAAAATGGAACCTAGAACACACCAGGCTACCTGTATAGAAGCCGCCGTTCAGTATTCTTTTAATAAATCCACGCCTTGGATGGCTGGTCCTTGAAAAATATTGTTTTAATAAATCCACGCCTTGGCATGGCTGGTCCTTGAAAAATATTCTTTAATAAATCCACGCCTTGGATGGCTGGTCCTATGAAAAATATTCTTTTAATAAAACCACGCCTTGGATGGCTGGTCCTCTGAAAAATATTCTTTTAATAAATCCACGCCTTGGATGGCTGGTCCTCTGAAAAATATTCTTTTAATAAATCCACGTCTTGGATGGCTGGTCCTCTGAAAAATATTCTTTTAATAAATCCACGCCTTGGATGGCTGGTCCTCTGAAAAATATTCTTTTAATAAATCCACGCCTTGGATGGCTGGTCCTCTGAAAAATATTCTTTTAATAAATCCACGCCTTGGATGGCTGGTCCTCTGAAAAATATTCTTTTAATAAATCCACGCCTTGGATGGCTGGTCCTCTGAAAAATATTCTTTTAATAAATCCACGCCTTGGATGGCTGGTCCTCTGAAAAATATTCTTTTAATAAATCCACGCCTTGGATGGCTGGTCCTCTGAAAAATATTTTTTTAATAAATCCACGCCTTGGATGGCTGGTCCTCTGAAAAATATTCTTTTAATAAATCCACGCCTTGGATGGCTGGTCCTCTGAAAAATATTCTTTTAATAAATCCACGCCTTGGATGGCTGGTCCTCTGAAAAATATTCTTTTAATAAATCCACGCCTTGGATGGCTGGTCCTCTGAAAAATATTCTTTTAATAAATCCACGCCTTGGATGGCTGGTCCTCTGAAAAATATTCTTTTAATAAATCCACGTCTTGGATGGCTGGTCCTCTGAAAAATATTGTTTTAAAAAATCCACGCCTTGGATGGCTGGTCCTCTGAAAAATATTGTTTTAATAAATCCACGCCTGGGATGGCTGGTCCTCTGAAAAATATTCTTTTAATAAATCCACGCCTTGGATGGCTGGTCCTCTGAAAAATATTCTTTTAATAAATCCACGCCTTGGATGGCTGGTCCTCTGAAAAATATTCTTTTAATAAATCCACGCCTTGGATGGCTGGTCCTCTGAAAAATATTCTTTTAATAAATCCACGCCTTGGATGGCTGGTCCTCTGAAAAATATTCTTTTAATAAATCCACGCCTTGGATGGCTGGTCCTCTGAAAAATATTCTTTTAATAAATCCACGCCTTGGATGGCTGGTCCTCTGAAAAATATTCTTTTAATAAATCCACGCCTTGGATGGCTGGTCCTCTGAAAAATATTCTTTTAATAAATCCACGCCTTGGATGGCTGGTCCTCTGAAAAATATTCTTTTAATAAATCCACGCCTTGGATGGCTGGTCCTCTGAAAAATATTCTTTTAATAAATCCACGCCTTGGATGGCTGGTCCTCTGAAAAATATTCTTTTAATAAATCCACGCCTTGGATGGCTGGTCCTCTGAAAAATATTCTTTTAATAAATCCACGCCTTGGATGGCTGGTCCTCTGAAAAATATTCTTTTAATAAATCCACGCCTTGGATGGCTGGTCCTCTGAAAAATATTCTTTTAATAAATCCACGCCTTGGATGGCTGGTCCTCTGAAAAATATTCTTTTAATAAATCCACGCCTTGGATGGCTGGTCCTCTGAAAAATATTCTTTTAATAAATCCACGCCTTGGATGGCTGGTCTTGTTAATTAGTTACCAATAATTATTAATCAAAAAAGTATCAATTTCCCTCAGACATTGATACTCGTCAACTGCTCTCTGCTCGTAGCAATGCCAAAGTCACAGTCCAGTATATCCAACCAAACAGTCGAATGGCGGTAAAATGTGGCGGAAAAGTTTTAGAAGAAACAGCCCAACAGGAAGATTTGGAAATTGAATTTCTTGATGACACTCCCAGTGGAGATGATGGAGCAAGCGCCGAGCCATCATCAATTGTACTTCAATACAAAGAGGAAGAAAATGCGGATGATCCATTTTATCCCAATGCCATTCACTGTCTTATGGATTTATATAAAGATCAGTATAATAAAATTATTAAGGACCTAAAAGAAAATATACCGGTGCAAAGGTTATTGAAAATTTGGCGGGATATTGCCAAAGAAATGCAGGAAAGTTATTTCGAATTTGAGGCGGAACAAATTCAACGAAAATACTCAGAGCTAAGAAGGCAGTATTTCGATATAAAAACCATGGAGGATATTGAAAATTTGGAATATTTTGATGAGCTGCATAGTATTTATAAGGATAATAGAATAGAAGCTATTTCCAAGGGGCATAAAGTTGATAACCTGCCGAGAAATGATGGAAAATGTAAGGATGCAATACTCATGAATCCGGACATTTTCGAACACAACGATGAAATTGTACTTAAAGAACATGAAATAATCGATTTAATGGAAAAGGAAATACAAGAAGCCAAAATTATACAAGAGGAACAAAATCGGAAAATAACTACAAAGGAAGAGCATATGTTTGCTAAGAAGGTGGAGCTTCCTCCCACTGAAAAACATGAGAATAGTTCTCAGACCAAAACTCTTAAAAGGCACATAAGAGAAAATTCAAGTGTGCCTGAAGAAGTGCCTGTAAAACAAAAACCAAAATTGGAAGAAGCAAATATTCCTGCTGAACCTTTACAAAACAAATCAATTCCAGACCCGCCGCCAACAACTTCCCCTGAAATCCACAATTTACAGCAATTAAATGCCGAACAGGAACGTCGGCATCGAGAACATATGGCCTTATTGGAAAAACAGTTTCAGCAACAAAACGCAAGCTTGGCCCAATTAAACCTACAAATAAGAGAACTTATTAAACGTATGCCCCCGAGGGCATCAACATCGTAATTTATTGAATTTTTCTTCAATTTATTATTCTACAAAAATTAAGTTAGGAATTGTTATTTATCTACCTCCATATGGTAAGTCATCCATTTCTATCTTCTGACTTTCAAAGATTTTCTGTAGCTCCTGCTGCAATAACTCGTGTAGGGATTCTCCCGTGTGGCGATATACCCATTTACCCGTTACCCCAGAGGCTTCTCCCACAAAATCATAACGCTTGGGACCACTTGTGGGGGAGCTCAACCATATTTGGCGATTGGGTGTCTGGCGATTTATAACATAGGTGCCATGTTTGCCCAGGTTCACAGTTAGGACTCCATCCTGTAAAAAAGAGAACATTATTAAATCCCGAATTTCAATATTAATTAAATCCACTACTCACACTATATGCCAAATCACTATCGGGAATCGATTCAACACTTTCCAACAATTGTTCAAAATAATCATTGAGGCCATCCAATGTTTCAACACACACCCGCTCATAGGTTGCGTGATCAAGTATCGAATCGACTACATGTTCTGTTGGTTGTTTAGTATTGTTGGAGGAGTAACTCCTTTGTTGTTGTTGGATATAATTTGTGGCAGCAGCAGCATGGCGAGGTAACTTTGTGCAGGTCAGTGTTGTTATATATTTCAGAGAACTTCGATTTTTCCCAACATTTCGCAGGGCCAATGATGATAACCGGCTGAACATTTTTTTTTAGATTTTCGAATTTATGGCACAGCTGTTAGTTTTCAATGTTTTGACATATTTTACATCTGTGAAGAGAGTTGCCAGATGTGTGTTGATGTATTGGAATTGTAATAGATTGTGGTAGTTGCTATGGTAATATGCTGGGGTTACCATAGATGAGATTTTAATTTTATTTCGATGCGAAGCTAAATGCGTTAAAGTGCAATTTGGTACTCTGTATCGCTCACGCAAACGCATTCGCAAAATAAATCAAAACAAAAGCACCACAAAGTAAACAATAACGAAGAATGACAAAAGGAAACGTCAAAAAATTGTTAATAAAACAAAAATGATGAACCAACTAAAAAAAGAATTTTAAGAGATCGATCAAATATACTCTACCTAAGTGAACACGGGTATGAAAATAGAAGTACGAATAATGTGGCAAACGTTTTCAAATATTTAATTTTTATAAATTTGTACAAAATGTTCGTCTCAATAAAGATGCGTTTATGTTTTTAATAAACGCTATTAAAAATGACCTTTTCCAAATGGATCCACAGCAATTCCAACTCCAATAAAAGTGGCCGCTGCTTTGAAATTGCTTGGACAAGGTGGTTATCAACACCAACCTGTAAATATGCACACATGGACCAAATACTTAATTTTTATGTGATAATCTTGTTAAAATACCGAACGAAGGCTTGCCACCGACCAGTACTATTCTAATTATAATTTTGCAGACCCATTTTTCAGAAAGTATGGATTTCTCGATAAGAAAATCTGTGCTGCGGTCACATTCAATTAATGATCAGGAGAATACACAATGGTCTCAGCGAATTTTTGAAGACCCACATATACGGTAGTAGGGATTTCTGCAAGTAAATTATAATTTTGTTAAATTCAGGACCTTAAAGACAACATATGGTAAAAATTTCAAAACAACTGGGTTCTATACTGGACTTGTTGAGTTGAGGGTCTGAATCTATATTCATGTTGATAAATGGAGCTACTACTGCAACTACAGATCTATCCTAATGAGTTCAGTAAGCTTGCTGAGCTTTAAAATAGACATTTTAGTTCCTTAGCTCCAACGAGAAGGTTCTGGAATCCGATCTGTATTAATTTATGCTGTCTTTTACTTTAATCAAATATCAAAGGCAAGGCTGCGTTCTGCTAAGTCTGAATTCTTCTCCATTATTTAGTAACCACAGACCAGTAGTAAAAAAATAGAGCCATATATCTAGTCGCACACCGATATATAGCTTTATTAGAAGTAAACAAAATTCTTTTATCTGCGTCCCATCGACTTGAATTGACCCTGGGAATTTCGGGATAGTTGGTGTTTTAAATCATTGACAGTAAAGGCTCTAGTTTATTATCCGATTAATTGAATCTTTTGATGCACAGTTCTCATGGAGTTCCCTATCGATGATACGTTTATGTCCGATGCGATTGGATTATGTCGCGGAGACGGATCTTTGATTTCACGACCTTAGATGTTCTCCTATAGATGCAAAATTTTCATAGAGTTCCCTATCGACGTTAAGTTGATATCCGATGTTTTACGATAGCTTCGCAGTTGTGCTGCAGAGATCTCGAATGACATTATAATGCAAATCCTGTACCTTCGCCTCTCATATAGACACAATCTGTTGCAATTTTGAAATAGAATTGTTTGGAGAAGGTTGCAAATTCCAGTATTGTGCGAAGAGGTATGAAAGAGATTAAATAGTCGATAATGGTGCAGTATCAATTGCATATTAGTTCAGTCTTAATGGATAACGAATCATCGGTTCAGTAGAAACAATTGCGTGAACCACGATCGAAAAAAGGCTACTATGTCTCAATGGTTCGTACCAAAATCGTTACTTTCGCTCTTATTCTGTTAGCACAATATATTTCCTAAACCCGCTACACTCTAGAGTTATTTCATAGATCCCCACTGCAGTAACATAAAAAATGGTCAAGCCTGGAACTTGATCTAGAACTCATAAATTGAATTTGTCACTTCAGTCGGAGTCCCGATTTTTGATTATAATAAAATACCATGTCCGCCTGTCTGTTAATATCATGATAGAGCCATCAACATGTAAGATGAACCTTGAAGTGTTGCCCAATATAACGGCACTCTTCTATTTTGGTACAGAAGGTACTACATTTTGGTATTCCGGGTTCTTGGATGGTGAAAATTTCTAAATATGCCAATTTTTTGGTCCAATTCACATTTTCCATAAGATATGACTATAAATTGGCATTCTGAGTTTTGGGAAAGTGAAAACGTCTCTACAGATTTATTTATTATTGGTCGATGTTTTGGCCATCACTTGCATTTCGATTTTTCTGATCTGAGTGTAACAAAATGTCTAGTGATATGGTCACTAATTATAATCAAGTATTAACTATGTTTGATTTTACTTTACAAATGGAAAAAATCTAAACATTTTTCTATATTAATTTATTCTTTTCAAAATATCCAATCTTCATTCCCACAATCAATAGCATTCTTTACATACTAACAATATGGCAACGTCACATTTATCCCAGCACTTATACATCCCTGACTCCATTTGACATTGCATTGTAATAGATTAACGGCGTCGTCACTTGACAGCCAAAAAAAGTTTTTCCCTTGTACGAGAAAAAATTTTGTGAGATTTGCGGATTTAGAAGAAAGAAAAAAAAAACAAAAAACCCAAACAATAAATAAAAGTCAAAACAGTAATAAGACGAATAATCGCTCCTCTACCGTAAAGACGCACAATGTCTTTACCAAGTAACTACAAACAAATTGCACCCGCACAGCCAGCCACACCGGCTAGTGGTACTGGCAGCGGTAGTGGTGGTGGCGGCGGAGGAGGAAGATCTCGTTCTTCTGGTGCTGGTTCTGCTTCGGAACGGAACAAGGATAACACTCCAATATTTACTCATAGCAATTATAGTAATCCAGCATTTACTCCACAGAAAGCGGGCAAGTCATCGTCATCGAAAAATCAATCGGAAAGTCGTGCTCCCAAGCCACCAAAACCACCAGAGAAACCTATTCTCCCGTACATGCGTTATTCCAAACGGATATGGGATAGTGTTAAGGCGCAGCATCCCGATTTGAAACTATGGGAATTGGGTAAGAAAATTGGTGCTATGTGGAAGCAGTTAACCGAGGCGGAGAAACAAGAATTTGTCGATGAATACGAAGCCGACAAGGCCGAATATGAGAAAACCCTAAAAGCTTATCACAACTCACCGGCTTATCAAGCGTATTTGGCTGCAAAGAGTAAGGCCAAAGCTGATGGTGACATACATGAAACACCGTCCCGTGGTGGTGGTGGCAAGGGTCAACAAGAACGTCGCATTGATATCCAACCAGCCGAGGATGAAGATGATCCAGATGAGGGCTATTCTTTCAAGCATGTAGCCTATGCGCGATACCTACGCAACCATCGTCTTATCAATGAGATATTCTCTGATGCTGTGGTACCAGATGTCCGTTCTGTGGTCACAACCCAACGTATGCAGGTGCTAAAGCGTCAGGTTAGCTCCCTGACAATGCATCAAACAAAACTGGAGGCTGAGCTACAACAAATGGAAGAGAAATTCGAAGCTAAGAAACAACGAATGATGGAATCTAGTTTAGCTTTCCAAGAGGAGCTGAAACGTCACTGCAAACCAGCCGTCGATGAGGATACTTTCCAGAAAATGGTCCAAAAAATATACGAAGAAATGAAACGTGAACGTCAACGTTTGCTGGATGATCCGAATGCTGGTAAATTGCCAGCCATTGGTGGTGGACCGGTGGCAGCTGCTGCAGGGGGTACTACAGCTCCATCGGCAACACCAGGGCCAGAGGCGAAAAAGGATAATGCCCCGGCAGCACTGGCTCCCACAATGACATCATCTGGTGGGCCATCAATAACGGGAGTGGTAACTATTCCCCCTATGAAGCCACCGCATGAATCTGGCAGTAAAACAGATCCTGAACCAATGGACATTGAACCGCCAGCAAAACCAACAGCACCTATAGCTCCAAAACCCGAACCTAAATTGAATGAGAACACAGGGAAGCAGAAAGCCGCTTCGGAAACGGCTAAAGATTCGCCTAAACCCAAAGGCGGAAAGAGCGCTGCAGCACATCCAGCTCCACCACCTACAGCAGGTGCTCCGCCACAACAACCACCACCTGGCGAGCAGCCTTTGCCGGCAACAGCACAACAACAACCTGCTGGTGCAACAGCTGGGCCGATGCCACCAAATGTAACAGCACCACCCAATGTTACGGCGCAGCCACCTCCGGCCAATCAACATGTTCCACCCACATCTGCTGCCGCTCATCAACCACCACCACCTCATGCGCCCAGCAATATGCCGCCCATGCATCCGCATCATGCACAACCTCCACCACCACAACAACACGGCGGACCTGCTCCTCCACCACCATCTCATTTACCGCCACACATGCAACCACATCCACAGGCTCCAATGGGTTCAATGCCACCACATGGACCCTATGCCCAATATGGACCGCCACCCACTGGACCCACTCGATCACCCTACTATCAGCCACAATATGGAGCTCATCCACCACCACAACAACCGTATGGTCAATATCCACCATATCACTATCAACAACCCTACGGCCCACCACCAGGTTCGCATTACATGAATTCTCGACCACCACCACAACATAATGGCGGCGCACCTCCACCAGGTGCACACTATGCTCCCGAACATGTTGGTGGACCACCACCACCGCAATCACAACCTGGTGGACCTTTGGGACCACCACCTCACATGGCTCCACATGATGTCTACGGTCAGCCGCCACCACCACCGCAACAACAACAGCAGCCACCACCTCCTACGGGCCATAATCCATTGCCACCACAACAGCAACCATTGCCACCAGCTGCACCACCATCCAGTGCACCAGCGGCTGCTCAACAGCCACCACCAGCCGACGATGGTGGACCACCAAAGCCAGAGTCGGAAGAAAGCAAAGCTGAATAGATTTTCGTGTATCCGAAAACAAAATTTATACTTTTGAACTTTTTATTACTCGTAATAATTTTAAAGAAAAACCCCCCACTTAGCTATTAAGGTCCTCTTTTTGTATTAATCACCAAACCAACAACATCAAAAACCAACCTATAAACAACAACCACTCATGATATGATTGTCTACGCAAACAGAAAAAGATGTAACAATGTATCAGTTTATTTGTCAAATCTCCTTCTACTATATATATCTCTCTGTGTATGTGTATCTTAACGAAATAAACAGAAACAAAAAATATGGGATTTTTAATGCATTCCATAAGGAAGAAATGAATCATCAAGGTCTAGAAATAGAATAATTGTTGACCCATGAAAACAACAGACTGGAATTCAGCCTATTTTGCAAAAACCAAATACAAATGGTAACCCAAATAACACCAGATCCACCATCTAAATCGATATAGCTATACGTATAGATCCACTTGACCTTAAACTTTTAGTCGAGGATGCTTTGCTTTGAAATTTACCAATTCGATTTAGGAAATTAGTACTAAAATGTACAGTCCATAAGTCCTGAAAAAAGTTCGTCTGCTTGTTTTTGACCTATGTCCTATGGTATACATAATGATAGAAATTCTCTGACCATGAAATTCTCGTTAAATTCACCCGGTCCAAATTTTGTATATCATACACCAAGTGGAGAGTCTTCAAAATTCCTTAAATCAGCCGGCATTACAGTCAATCAGATAAAAAAAAAACTGAACTAAAAACGTCAACATACAGCATATGTAGAACGCAGAACTCTAAATTACAGTCACTTCGATTGGAAAATGCGGTTAAAACCTTCAAAATACTGAAAATGAGATGCGACCTTTATATGGGAGATATGTCAAAGTGTGGACATAAATCACAAATTGTTTGCAAATATGTTTTTCACCCTCTAAAAATCAGAAATTTCGAAATACTTTGAAGGATAATTGGAATTAAAACCATTAAAATACCGAAAACGGGGAGGGACCTTTATATGGCTATGCCAACACATGGACCACTACTGCCACTTCGTTGGCTAAAAACTTAAAAATACTGAACTTGAGACCAGACATTTATTTGGAGGTTATGGCAAAGGGTGGACCCATATCAAAAATTTTCTACAATGATGTTTTTACACCAACCGAAAAACCGAAATTCCGCTAAAATCTTCAATATCTGACGGACCTTAAAATGCAGACATTATCAATGCCAAACTACAGCCTCTTCGGTGAGAAAATGCTGCCAACACCTTCAAAATTCCAAAAATGGTTTGGAATTTTTATATAACGCCATTGTCAATAGGTGGGTCTATATCCAAAATTTCTAAAAATATGTTTTTCAACCTCCAAGAACACGTAATGACACCCACTTCGTTGAGGAAATGCGGCAAAACCATTAAATTATCGAAAATGTGGCAGGACATCCATATGGGGGTTATGTCAAAGCGTAGGTAGACCTATACCAAAAAAGCTCTGCAAATATGTTTTTCAACCTTCAAGAACCTGAAACCCCAAACGACAGCCTCTTCGGTTAGAAAATGCTGCTAAAATTTACAAAATACAAAAGATGGACCGGAACTTTTATATGGACCTATATGCAAAAGTTCTGCAAACATCTTTTGAACCTCAAAAAACGCCTAATGCGAAATTATTGCCACTTCGTTGGATAAACGGGGGCACCATGTCAACGCGTGGACTGACACTAAAAATTATCTATAAAGGCGATTTTCGTCCTCCAAGAACACGAAGTGCCAAATTACAACCACTTTAATTTGAAAATACCGAAAAAATCTTCAAATTGTTAAAAAATGAAATAGGAAATTTATATATATAGGCTATGTTCATAGATGGACCTGTATCGGAAATGCCGTACAAAGATGTTATCCAAATTTACAATCCCAAACATCCTAGGAGTAATGGCTATGTTTATGCGAAAGCTCTATCTTAAATATTTCGATCTACAACTTGATTTCAGATACAGACGGACCTGGTTAAATCGACATAGAATTTTTATTGCGATCTCCGACGAATATTTCGATGTGTTGCAAAAGTATATAAAGGTCTTGCCATTATACGTGCATTTTCATATTAATACCAAGTGGCCCGACCGTATGTAACGAAGTTTTTCACCCTCCCCATTCAATACCTAAAATCGTAGGGGCCTAATATCGGAACTATGTCAAAGCATGGATCCATGAAGACGAGCTTGTTCGATGTGGAACACAATTGACCAATATTTCAATTGATGCTACTATCAACTTTTTCAAAAAATCTGAACGTTTTTATTATACCAGAGTTGTTCCCTCGTTAAAAAGATGAAACTAACTTTTATAATCATAATAGGTCGTTGCAGAATCTGATATCTCTTTTCCATTCCAGTGACATATTAAAGAAGTTTATTACTGTCGAATATACGAATATATGAGGAAGACACTACTAGGCATCTACCATGTAGATATCCAATGCTTCGCAGCAGGAGACTTCGAGAGTTTGAAGATAGATCCGACATAGATCCCAACATGGTTCAATTATACAAGGTAGGGTAGCTTTTGTCAGAAATGAGAAAATACGCCTCTACATTATAGGCAATAATGTCAGAAGAAATGAAAACAAACAAGTAGCTCTGTTCATTTTACATATTTTTAACATTTTACCAAAAAACCCGAAAAATGAATGGAAAGTCAGGTTTTTGAAATGTTTCCCTTTTACTAGCTTTACTAAGTATTGGAACAGACCAATTCTTAAAAAGTTGTCAAGGCCGAGTGGTCAAACCTAACCTCAACTTCGTCTTCTTTTCATCCTATATATTATTTTTCTCGTTTATTAAGCATCCTTCAACATAACCTAACTTTTATAAAGGTCGACTGATATCGATATTACTTTGTAGATTTACCACTCAACCGATACTGCTAATTTTTGATAATTAGATTTTTCCTCTAATAGAAACCGACTTTGCACACCGTTACTTTCAAAAGATACCAAAGCCATAAATACGACAGAGCAAAGAGAACTAGCTGCACTAAAGAAACTGCATAAACAAACAAAGCGAAAATCGTTCCGTTCGTTCATTTCACAAAACCACTCAATTGAACTAGTTCATTTCGAAGCGACATATCTTGAGCGAGTTTGTGAACAGCAGTGTCAGAGAGTTTTTTTTCCAAAGCGGAATAGTTTTTCATTTTATAATTTCTGTTTGAGTTTTGTTTAATTTAATTTTTAAACAACGAATTGTTGAATTTCAGAGAATCTTCCAAAAGAAATTCAAAAGTTATAAAAATCTGTAACCGAAGAAGAAAGTGAGATTGAAAACAGAAACGCGAAAAGAAAACAATATTGACAAAAAATACACATTCTCGATAACAAGAAGAAGCATTATTTGTGGTTGGTAAACGAAAATGAAACAAAAAGCAACATGAAGAAACTACAACAACAGCAGTGAAAAAAATGCATATGCCGTTCGAGTTAGACAAAATGTAAACGTAACGTGTGTGTGAAGCGGTTTGCGTTGTGCAATTTATGTGTTTAGTGATGACATTTTGGAAATGCAAGGATGTTATCAAGGCTTAACTCTAGTTTAGTAAAAACGATCAGATTTTTCTGAAACTTTTTCCAGAGGTAGATATTTTTATACCTACCCGGTTATCCGGTTATTTGTCCCGGAAGTTCAGGTACGGGTACCCGGTTATATCCGGTTCTACGGGGTTAAGGTTTTAAGGCCCATATCTTTTGATCCACAACAGATACAGCCACATATCACACCATTTTGGAAAGGACAAATTGCAGTCTATCATTTGAGTCAGAGTTGGTGAGGGACTATAATAAACGCAAGTTCGACTATTAGGGAGTTTTTCAAAAAAAATCGGGCTCCAAAACCCAGTTTTTTGACTGTGTCTCCCAAACTTAATGGAAAGGTAGATTCATAAGCTTTAACATGATACCCATTCCGTAGAACCGGGTAACCGTACCCAAACTTCCGGGTTAAAAAAAATACGGGTAACCGGATACGTCCTCCATGAAAAATATATCCCCATAATCAGGGTAAATTTACCTACCTCTGGAAAAAATTTCGGGAAGTATAGACTTTTCCCCCATATGTTGATTAGGGATGTACGGTTGTTAATAACACTCGGAGACAATTGTACATTGTGATCATCATTGATACCTGAAAAGAAAGGGGGTAAAAGAAGAGAGAAGAAATAGTTGGAGTTGGAGAGCTTAGATGATGATTATTTTAGCCATGCCAAATGTTTGACAAAGTCTAGAATCTCATTGGGGTCTATTTTGGAGAAGAAAGCTATATTATCAATTACATACCTTTCTGTCACTCAGCGATGGACATCTAAAGATGATATGATCAATTGTTTCTAGCTCCTTTTCGTCCTCAGATAGACGACTGTAATCCTTTCCGTTGGAGTCCCATTTCGAAGTGAGGGATCTAACCTTGCAGTGACCTGTTATGATCCCCACAATGATTTTGATCTCTCTCTTATTATGTGACAGCAGCGAAGAAGTTCTTCGGCGACAGAATTCAGGCCAGATAGATTTTAAGATTCTCCAATCAGGTTCTCTCGACCATCTGTTGCCGACTACCTCGCCAAAGAACAAGCGGTTTTTGCCAATGAAATAGCCAATGGGTGGTTGCACAGATCTCTCAATCGGAAGGTTACACGACTCGAGCAAGCTCGTCGGCTATCTCGTTCCCTTCTATGTTGCTATGTCCTGGAAGCCAGCATAAATTAACTATCCGTCGTATATCATGCAGAGCAGACTTGCAATCAAGAACAGATTTTGAGTTTATAGTGCACGGCTTTAAAGCCTTGAGGGCCGCCTGACTATCGACATATATAGTCACCGGTCTCGTATTATCGGCAGTAAGTGTTTTTACTATCTCAGCAGCTTTTGTGATTGCTAGGATTTCTGCTTGAAATGCGCTACAAAGATTGTTAGTTTTGTAAAATTGTAGATTTCTAATTCCCTACAGTAA